AACCAGTATTTGCACTCCGTCCCAAAATTACTTCAACGGAAGGTTTCCAGATGGATATGCGGAGCAAATCCATCTGGCGGAGTCAGGTTAAATCTTACTGAGAGCAGAAAAGTTTTTTAGATTTACAGAAGGCAGCTGCTGACTCCCGGGCTCACCTCTCAGGAAGTGGCCCCGATTAACAGTTAAAGAGCCATTTTATACATCTCCAGTCTGCCACATCATCACATCCTTACATCATACAAGTTAGCAGATGAGTAGACATCGATGGCTCCAGCCTTATCAAAATATTACACTTTGTTCTTAGCTGAAGGACACTACTCTCATTCCATTTCCAAATATTTGCAACATACGGAATGAAGATTATAACTACAGTTCCTTCTCAAAATATTAGCACACTGGAAAAAATCGAAATCTAGATAAGTAATTTTTTCTTAAAATAAGTGTATTTGTTCTTGGATTGTGGAGGTAAAAGAGATGTTTTGCCAATGGAACAAGACAATTTACATTTAAAATAAGAAAACACAATTACATTGTCTTATTTCAAGTGCATGTTATCTAATTATCTTATTTTTAGAGTAAAAATACTCCCATTGGCAAGCTATCTAATTTACCTACTCAAATTAAGGGTAAATACACATAATTTAAGACATTTTTCCTCATTTCTAAATAGTTTTTCCAGTGCATATTGTAATACAGTTAATTATTTTCCATAATGTAATGATAAAACTTGAACATTTATATATTTTAGATTAATTGCACACTAACTGAAATATTTCAGGTCTTTTATTGTCTTAATACGGTGTCACGGTCTTGGTAATGTTGTGCTTTACTTTGATCCTTGTTTTCTAGTTTTATTGGTTTGATTCCTATTTTGTTGTAGTTTCTAGATTAATGTTAGTTCTCTTCTTGTTCTGTTGTTGCCCTCTTTTGCCCTCTTGTATGTTCCTTTCCCCTTGGCTTCCTCATTGTCTCCGCTCACACCTGCTCCTTATCAGCTCGTTAACCCTGCCTTTGTCTCAGTCAGCTATTTATACTCTCCCTCTGCTCTCACTCTTGGTTGGTTCCTTGTCTTTGCTGTTTTCCCATGCTGTTGTCTACCTACCCTGTCTCTCCCTGGCTCCTCGTGTTTGGTTTCCCCAGATGTCTCCATAGTTCTGGTTTGCTTTTCATTATTAGTTGGATTTTTTGATTCCTGCTTTTGTTTACTGTTTTTTTTCACCCATTAAACTCCAAGAAATCACCTCAGCCTCTCTGCCTCTGCATATGGGTCCTCAACCTCAACCAAAACCCTGACATACGGACGATTTTGGCATACAGCTAATGAAAACCCCAAATTCCTATCTCACAAAATTAGTATATTTCAACCGATAAAAGGAAAGTGATCTTAATAAAAAATAAAAATCAACCTTCAAATAATTATGTACAGTTATGCACTCAATACTTTGTCTGGAATCCTTTTGCAGAAATGACTGCTTTAATGTGGCGTGGCATGGAGGCAATCAGCCTGTGGCTCTGCTGAGGTGTTATGGAGGCCCAGGATGCTTCCATAGCGGCCTTTAGCTCAACAGCAGTGTTGGGTCTTGGGTCAACCTTCTCAGAGCACAAGCACAATGCTCTAACCACTAAGCAATCTACATATATTATTGATCCAACTTTGTGATGTGAGGCACACTTGAAGACTGGGCTCTAGAAATCTAATTTGCAATATCATTTTAATTTCAACCCAGTGAAAAACGCAGTGGACCCACAGCAGCGGATGATGATTTCCCAAATTCCCATTAACTGTAGAAAACATCAGAACAGACATTAGAAAGCTTGCATTCTGTGACTCTTCAGTCCTTCTCCAGGGAGCTCGATTTTTAATGAAATAGGAGGAAGGAGGTGTTTGGACCAATGAGCTGAGGTTCAGCCGTCTTTCTTCTTAGCCAAGGTGGTTCTTATTCTGACATTTAGGAGAAGCGACAGTAGCTGGCTCTTCAAGCTCATCCCATCTCGCTCCTCAGACCTTTAAAGGGTTTAGATATGCTTTTGCTACCACACACTTCCATTTAAATGTATCACTATTCCATCCAATTCATCCATTTTCCGTCATGCTTACCCCAAGCAAGAGGTGCTGGTGCCTATCACCTGCTGTCTACGGTCCACCCTGGACAGGTCGCCTGTCTATCAAAGAGACAAACAGGACAAACAACCATTCACACCTAAGGAGAATTTAGAGAAGCCAATTAACCTCACAGTCATGTTTTTGGACTGTGGGAGGAAGCCAGAGTACCCAGAGAGAACCCACACATGCTCAGGGAGAACATGCAAACTCCATGCAGAAAGACCTCAGGCTGGGAATCGAACCTGGGAGCTTAATGCTGCAGTGCTACCCACTGCTCCACTGAGCAGCCCTTGCATCACTGTTGCTCTCTGTAAAACCAAAGTTATTTTAATAATTGGTGGTTTACTCTCCTTGAGGAATGACAGCTACGGAAGAGGATTAGGGCCACTGGAAAAAAAAAAAAAAAAGTTTACTAATTTTTAAATTTTATTTCAATTTAGTATAGGAATCTCAGAATTCTGACTTTAATCTCAGAATTCTGACTTTTTTA